AAGAGTGAAGTGAACCAAATTAATTCATTAGAAGCTGCCAAGGCAAGGCTGGAGATGTGCTGTGGTTACTGATGAGTTGTGCTTTGCCTCTGCATTCATTACTGATGGAACAAGTGTGTATTGAGAGTTGAAAGCCTGCGTTGTTATGTCTCTTTGTTCTATACTTTTACCTTGTCAGCACAAAAATGGCCAGGACACTATGATGACTTCTACATATTAACAATCCCTATCAGGTCTCTGACTGCTGCCCAGATTCTATTAAGTTACTTCTTTTTCTTGTAACAGGTAAACTGGGATGAAGAAAAGCCATGTTTTGAAAGCCTAAGCAAAGAGCTAGCACTGTTCTACTCCATTAGGAAGCAATACATGACGGATGAAGCCAACCCGACAAGCTCTCAGGTACATGAACATGTAACTAGTCCTATGAACAGGTAACACCACACAGGAACCTCCTCCTCTTTCAGCTCTGGACTTCTGGTCCCAGTACTACTTTTGGTGAAGCGAATCAAGCAGCAGTGTGGCAAGATGAATGTGGCTTAAGTGTTCTGATTATATGTATTAACCTTTTAACTGGGTATCACAGGGTGCTTGATATTACATCAGTTCTTGGCCTCTGAGTTGGGGATGGATGTTTTTATTTGCTGAGCCACAGTAGATTTGTATAGAAGAATAAGGATGTATAGAAATTATAAATACAGCCTGTTTCTGTCTAAGTATCTGCTTACCCATTCAGTAAGTGACTTTCCAGAGCTTAAAATTAACCTGATTGCATACAATGAGCTTGTCAGTTTAAGAGCTTGTCTTTTTTCTCGTCTTTCAGACTGAAGATTCTGACTCTGGGTCAACAAAGTGGAAATGGACCGTGGAACATGTACTTTACAAAGCCTTTAGGACTCATCTTTTACCTCCTAAACACTTTGCAGAAGATGGCAACATTTTGCAGCTTGCTAACCTGCCTGACCTGTATAAAGTTTTTGAGAGATGTTGAGCAAGACTGGGGCATATCAAAAACCATTCATGCTGCATTCTGTTCTACTGAGTAAAGGAGAAAGGTGGAATCTTCCTGGAGGAAAGAAGAGGGGATTTAATATCATACTAACAAACAGGATAGCAAATGATGTGGTTTCCACCCGTTGATGAAAGGAGAAGAATTGTTTTAGCTATGTGTAAACCCAGCTGAAGTGCCTGAAATCAAATGTACTTCCACTCAGATTGTCACTGTTAAGCAGTATGCTAACAGGATACAACTCTGACTGAAGAAAAACTACTGGGTTTAAGTAACTGTGAATGGAGATAGATCTTAATTGAAATGTGAGTGCTTCAGCTTTGCTTCTTGAAAACAATACAGGTTATCCACCTCCTTGTGTCTTGTGTGTGTCTCTTGTGTGACAGTACCTTACCCTGCGAATGTACCTGCCACACGATTAAAATCACCTGTTACTGCAGGAGCTTGTCTTGTGGAATTTCAGACCTCTTAATGAAATTAGGCCAATCCCTTCCCTTTAAACGAAGGAGTCTGAAAACGGATGCAGGACTGTGTGGCAGAGAGCAAGTGAGCATGCACTCAGGCCATCAGTGCAAGGGGAGCTCCAGCTCGCAGTGACTACACACTCCAGCAGTCAAAAAATGCTTGAGCTGGAATTTCGCCCCTGAAACCATCCCCAAATCCATCCCCTTGTGGGTAGTTAAGAGAAACTTGATCACACAGTGCCAAGTTTCTGGCACAAAATGAAAGATACTCATAATAAAGCTGAAACAGATTTGGGGCTTTATCTCTAGATATATAGATACATACACACACTACATTATACATAGCATGTATATATACTGTAATATAGATCTATTATGTATATAGTAAAAGCTAAAAAATGTATTAGTGTAATTATAACTATATAATAGAATGATAAATATAAAATATAAAAGCATATATACTTCCATAAGTACATATATGCTTTTTATAGAAGTTTATATATT